TGCTCCTGGGCCTGGTTGTAGCTGCTCCTGGGCCTGGTTGTAGCTGCACCTGGGCCTGGTTGTAGCTGCACCTGGGCTTGGTTGTAGCTGCTCATCACAGACAGCAGATCCAGCTCCTTGGACTAAACTCGACACTCCTTTATTGACTTTTATGATTTTTATTTATTTTTTTATTGAATAGTTTGATTTTAAAGCTCCTGTGAGGTGCAGTGTCCATCTGCACGTCTGCACACGGCAGCCATCTTCCAATTAGAGTATTAGAGGATTAGCGTTACAGTGGGTGTGTAGTTACTTGGAAAACAGGAAACAGTTTGTACAGATGAATGATGTGAGATCAGATCTCTGCACCATCACATGTGGAGTTCCTCAAGGATCTGTACTTGGTCCAAAGTTATTTATTTTATATATAAATGATCTGGTTAAGGTGTCTGGAATCCTCAAATCTGTTCTTTTTGCTGATGATACAACATTTTTTTTGTTCTGGTAATAATATTGAACAGTTATTGGAATCAATGATGAATGAGTTTGTTAAAATTCAGAATTGGTTTAAACTCAACAAATTATCATTAAACTTGGAAAAAACAAATTATATGATATTTAGTAACAGAAATAAAACTATTGATGTTCCATTTTTAATTGAGGATTCTGAGATTAGTAGAGTTAATGAAGCTAAGTTCTTGGGTGTCATCATTGATGAAAATTTGTCATGGAGGCAACATATAAACTCTGTTAAAATGAAAATATCCAAATCTATTATGATATTTTATAGAGTCAGGTATCTATTGAATGACAGAGCGCTGTATTTACTGTATAATACAATTATTGTGCCACATTTAATTTATTGTGTTGAAGTTTGGGGAAAGGCGTGTAAATCAATTACAATGCCTATTTTTATTTTGCAGAAAAGAGTCGTAAGAATCATAACAAGAAAGCATTATTATCATCCAACAAGTATATTATTTTATCAAATGAAATTGCTGAAGTTCCATGATTTGGTAGACTATAATATTTTATCACTTATGTATAGAGCTCATAAAAATATACTACATTTTAATATCCAAATGTACTTTTTGAAAAGATCTAGCTGTTACGATCTAAAAGGGAAAGACGTATTTGTTAAACCACAGTTTAGAACAAGTTTGAAGGGAAGATCTACCGTAATTCAGGGAGTTGGTTTATGGAATGACTTAGTAAAAGAGCTTAAGGATGCTATATCAATTTATGTATTTAAGAAACTGATTAAAATCAAATTGTTAAATGAATATCAATGATTGTATTTTGATGAGTATTGTATGAGAATTGTAAAATATTTTGATTTACTTACTTGTATTCGCTGTTTACAGGAAACGTTTGTTTGAATGGCTTATTAGATAAATAAGGAGCAGATTTAATAAGATTTTTTTCTTCATCTGCTACCGTTCATTTTATATTTAATATTTTGTTGTTGTTACATATATGTTGATTATGTTGATTGTTATGTATTTATAAAATGAATAAATAAAAAAAATAAAAAATAAATAAAAATAAAAAATAAAGCCCCTGACAGCATAGCTCCTAGGATCATTGGGACACTCAAACCCCTCCACCACGGTAAGGTGGCAGCCCAGGGAGGGGGTATATGAAAGCTGTATATGAAAAAACAACGTCCTTTTTGGTTTATTTTGAGCTGCAACACTGGCGTGAAAATGAACTTGGCATGAACTCGTGCACGCCACTGCTTTAACTGTGTCAAGAAGCCTGTGAAACTGCCCCTCTGTGTCTCTTCCACCTCACAGACATGCCATGTAAAGGGAAGACAAGCCAGCTCTTGTCAAAGGCAGGACATTTTGGTGTCCTGGCCCTCCTTTTGCAGGACAAGGGACAGGAGGGGGGCAAAATATAGGACTGTCTGACCCAAATCGGGACAGTTCGCAAAACTACTCAGGAATGGCTTGGTCCATATTTGATCTAGTGCTGGATAGAGATTGGATTGTTTTTATCCAGCAGTTTGTTGTGTGTATAAATGATGACCTAACATATCCATCCATCTATTCTCTTCCACTTATCCAGGGTCAGGTTGCGGGGGTAGAAGCATAAGTAGGGAGGACGCAGACTTCCCTATCCTCAGTCATTTGGGCCAGCTCCTCCAGGGGAATCCCACGGTGTTCCCAGGCCAGCCAAGAAACATAGTCCCTCCAGCATGTCCTTGGTCTTTCTCTGGGTCTCCTCCCGGTGGGATGTGCCTGGAACACCTGACCAGGGAGGTGTCCAGGAGGCATCCTAACCAGATGCCCGAGCCACCTCAACTGGCTTCTCTCGATGTGGAGAAGCAGCAGCTCTACTCTGAGTCCCTCCCGGATGACCGAGTTTCTCACCCTATCTTTAAGGGAGACCCAGACAGCCTGCGGAGAAAACTCATTTCAGCCGCCTGTATCCGTGATCTCGTTCTTTTGGTCACAACCCAAAGCTCATGACCATAGATGAGGGTAGTAATGTAGATCGACCGGTAAATTGAGAGCTTTGCCTTTTGACTCAGCTCTTTCTTCACCACAACAGACCGGTACAGCGCCCGCTTCACTGCCAACGGTGCACCTATTTGCCTATCGATCTCATGCTCCATTTCTCCCTCATTTGTGAACAAGACCCCAAAATTCTTAAACTCCTCCACTTGGGGCAAAACCTCCTCCTCGACCCAGAGAGGGCAGTCTACCCTTTTCGAGCTAAAGACCACGGCCTCGGATTTGGAGGAACTGATCCTCATCCGGCCGCATCACACTCGGCTGTGAAACTGCTCCAGCGAATGCTGTAGATCACGACCTGATGAAGCCAATAGGACCACATCATCTAGAAAACACAGAAAAGTGATCCTAAGGCCACCAAAACAGATCCCCTAAACACCTTGGCTGCACCTAGAAAATCTGTCCATAAAAGTTAAGAACGGAATCGGTGACAAAAGGCAACCTTGGCGGTGTCCATCTCTCACTGGGAACGAGCCCGACTTACTGCCGGCAATGCGGACCAAGCTCTGACACCGATCGTACAGGGACCTAACAGACTTTGTCAATGGGCCTGGTACCCCATATGCCTGGAGTACCCCCTACAGGGCTCCCCGAGGGACACGGTCGAACGCCTTCTCCAAGTCCACAAAGCACATGTAGACTGGTTGAGCAAACTCCCACGCACCCTCCAGGACCTTGCTGAGGGTGTAGAGCTGGTCCAGTGTTCCACGACCAGGACGAAAACCACACTGCTCTTCCTGACCTAACATACTCTATACTTAAATGATAATAATATATAATAATGTTATAGTAAGACAGCTTATGGACGACTATTCCAAAATTGTATACATTATTTAAAGTATCACCCTGCATTTTAACATAATCAAAAGATATTAACCTTTATTTTATTTTATTTATTAATTAATTAATTAGTTTATTTGTGTGTGTGTGTGGTGGTGGTGGTGGTGGGGGGGTGTCTTTACAAACTTGACAGTGACAAGTTTTGCAGCTTAATCATGTGCTATTGAATTTAAATGATGGTTTGACAAATATTACCTCAGATAGACAAAGACAAAAACATTTGAGGACATACATTTATTCATGGTAATTATCTGAGTAAGACATCAGATTTGACCAGTTGTCCTCCAGAAGGGACATCTTCGAGGCTTGACCTCCTGTTGGAAGCAACATCATCATGTTGTCGGGACAACAGAGGCACATTTACAGAAATTTAGCGCAAACAAAAGCATTTAGTTGGTTGCAGACTTCATCGTTGATGTAATCTTCTCCTGTAAACAATAAGAAAAGATTAAAAATAAGATAAATTTTAATTGTCTTCTCCTGAGATTTCTTTCTTCTGAAATGAAAACAAAACACAAACTGTTAACAATGGAGGAAAACCATGTTTTGTCTTCAATACAAAGCCAAACAGGTGTCATAAAGAACCAGATAAAATCCTGTAATATATTATTTCATCTAAAGTAGTCCTTCTCAAATAGTGGGGCGTGCCCCCCTGGGGGGGCCCGTGGCAATGTGGGGGGGGGGGGTGCATTTGACCCTAGAAAACATGCTTTTTTTGCTGCAGGGAGTAGTTTATTTTGTTTATTTTTTCACCATTCTCATTCTGTCGCGTGCGTTCCTAATAATAACGTTATGAACAAATATGGCTGCCTTGTCGTTTTGGGAGTCATGCATGAACCATGTCTCTTCCCTCTGTTGCTGATATGATAAATAAACTCTGACCGTCACCTCCTCCATCCTCCGCTGCTGTTTTTATGTAAATGCACTCTGGACGTCACCCACAGCACGCATGCAAGAAAGAGTAAACTCAAGTGAGAGCAACATCTGCCCCCTCTTTCCTCTTTTGCGTTGACAAGATGTTTTAGTTTTATTGATGAGTTTGTCAAAGCACAATTTACATAAGTAATGTTTAATAAATGTTAGGACTTTATTCTTTGCTAATAAAATATATTCACCTCCTCAGTTAAGATGCTGGTTTTTGATGCTCTGGACGTTTGTCACCCAGAACATGCAGGTGACAAAGAGTAAACTCAAAGCGAGAGGGTTACCTGCGTCTTCTTTCATGTTGACATTTTTTTGTTGTTGTTGTTTTATCAATGAGCGTGCTCATTGATCCTGACTTCCTCATTTTGATTTAAAAAAATCAGCATAAATTGTTTTATTCATTTTTGTTTTGTAGATCAAAGTGTTTTATACAACACTCCTGAGTTAAAATGTTGCTGATAAATTTGAATTTATTATTATTTATTGATTATATTTAATTTTATTTTTCAGTATCAAATGGTCCAAAATGTTTACAGTTTAAAAATGATTTTTTTTTTTTTCAGGCAAATTGATGCACTGTAAGTTGTTTCTGTTACAGAGTAAAAAACAATGTTAATAAAGTTATTCTTTGTTGTAAGTTGATCTATATTATTTCTTTAATGTTAATAAGGACACAATGTTAGGCAGAGGTGTACTTATAACAATTTTATAGACATACTATTTACAGTCGCGGTGGAAAGTTGGGGGTGGGGGGGGTGAAATGTTTACTTCTTTCTGGGGTCGGGGGGGGGGGGGATAACATAAAATAATTGAGAAGCACTGATCTAAAGTGACCCCCACAAATTGAACCTATTTATGTTGTCCACACTGGAAACATCTGATTAAAGAGCAGTTATCGTTTTGTGTACCATTCCAGTTCATATCCACACAGTTCTCATGTCCACCCATGTTGTTTGGTTCCCCTGGGCCCCAATGAGTGTAGGTGATCTCGGATCTATCGCTCCATGTCCATTCACCGAACTGTGAGAGGAAGTTTTCAAACATCAGCTGTTTCACTTCATCCTGATTGTTCAAGATTTACAGAAAACGTTTTCCAATAGTTAGAGTTCTACACAAAATCCTTACTTGTCCCTTGACGCCTCCAATCCAACTTTTTGTGTTGGTTCCAGAAGCTCTCACAATGAGTCCCCTGATGAAGTAGTACTCAACTTCATCATGAAAGGAGACCAAATGTCCACCATGGTCAATGCAATAATCCTGTGTGGAAAGATGGCAGCATAAATACATCATCACATCTTCATCATTGTGATGAGCTAGTTGTACAAGAGAAAAGTAACATGGCAGTAGTAGCCTCTGATTAAAACCAGTCTTCATCTGTTTTTAGAACTATGAGGTTTGCAACTTATTCAAGCTAAAATGTAACATCAAGGAACGTTCATGACAGATGAAAACATTACTACATTAGATCATCCACAGAGGTCTACGACAGTGCAACGTTAATTTCAGTTGTGTCTAACATAAGACACACCCTGTTTTGCACCATAATATTATTATCATGAACAACATTTTAAATAACTGAAGATTTATCTTTTGACCAAGGTACATCTAGTAAAAGTGAATACTGAAGGGACAGCCGTTCTTGGTTTCCATAGTTTTGCTTCTCATTTGAGGAACATTCTCATTTCAAGACTGTAATGATGGAGTGTTTTAACTTCAAAAGTAGTAAATGGACTTTAGTTATGGAGCATTTTTCAATTTAATCAAGATACTGTACTTGAAGTGCTTTACAACACAGTCTGTACCCTCCACACACCCACTTTCATACAGCACTCTACTAGATCGCTACAAAGCTAATCTGAATCTGTAGAGATTAATCAGTCCTTTAGATCACATTCATACACTAATGGGACCAGTGGCAGCTGGCCAACAGAGGGCGCTAGGGTGCCGCCCACCCACTGAAACCACTCACCATTTTACATTGAAGACAAAAAAAAAAAAAAAAAATGAAATAATAAATTTAAAACATTTCAAAATACATGTTTTTTTTTTTTTTGGTAAGATAAATATTTTATAGTTAATGATGAGTTAAGTCGTTTCTTTCAAAAACATTGTCTGACTTATGACGTATTTTTGGCCCCTGGGGGCGCAAGAATCGTTTTTCACATACTATTGTTAAAAATTGGACATGCACACTAGCGCCTCTTCTTTACAAGAGCTAGGAAGATTCAGGGCACCGATATCTCCGACCGGGGGCACAAAAAAAACGTGAACGTTACTGATCAATCGTACTTCTGATCCAGAACATTTTTTTTTGTTTTTTGTCCGGGAACCAATCCGTCCAGTGACACTCACAACCAGGCTGGCTGTAGGTAGGCTTTAAGCCACTGAAAGCCCTTTATCTAATGCCTATTTGCCATTTCTGACTGATATGCCTCTCAACTTTTAGATGTCTCATTTTGTGAAAAAAATAAAAATAATATCTTCAGCTGACTGTAGTCTAAAAGTGGAAACTGATGAGTTTGTTTATTTGATGTTTTTAGAGTTAGCATACTAGTGCTAGCCTCCAGGTTATTGGTTATTGTATTGAACTTTGTGATTGCTGCCTTTATTTGAATTTTCCTATAAAAAAATATCAAACATTAATACTTTTACATACTAAATGTCACTGATGGTGTTCTGAACACCTGTGTTTGTATTGATCTGGATAATGAAAATAAGCCTCTTGCAAGTAACTGTTAACATTGAAGCATTTAAGGTGCATTGAGATGGTGAAATGATGAAATGATGTACAATAATGATGAAATGATATGTGCAAAGATGCAATATTAGGACCTTTAATATTAGGAATATTTAAGAGTATTCAAAAATTAGCTTGATTCTATTTATGTTATGAACTTATATTACTAGAGTAATGATCAGGGGTCTGCAACATTTACGATCAAAAGAGACATTTCTGTCCCTTTGTTCACTATATTAAATGTGTCCGGAGCCACAATACCAGCTACAACTGGGATTCTCAACCGGTGACCCACGGACCACTTTAAGTTTGTCGGAGGGCACTTTCCTGGACAGTAGGGGTGATTTTATAAAACTAAAAATATCTAATGATTTTTTAA